ACAGTCACAGTGTATAAGGAGAGCACACACTGTCACAGTCACAGTGTATAAGGAGAGCACACACTGTCACAGTCACAGTGTATAAGGAGACCACACACTGTCACACTCACAGTGTATAAGGAGAGTACACACTGTCACAGTCACAGTGTATAAGGAGAGCACACACTGTCAGTCACAGTGTATAAGGAGAGCACACACTGTCACAGTCACAGTGTATAAGGAGAGCACACACTGTCACAGTCACAGTGTATAAGGAGAGCACACAGTGTCACAGTCACAGTGTATAAGGAGAGCACACACTGTCATAGTCACAGTGTGTAAGGAGAGCACACATTGTCACAGTCACAGTGTATAAGGAGAGCACACACTGTCACACAGTGTATAAGGAGAGCACACACTGTCAGTCACAGTGTATAAGGGAGAGCACACACTGTCACAGTCACACCAGCACCTGTCACCATTCCTGTCCTGATACTGGGCTTTTTGCCTTGGTGACATGGAATCTTAACTTACTTTTCATCTACATTTCCCTTATGACTAAGGAAGTTGAGCACTTTTTAAAGATGTCAAACACTCTTCCACTGTTGCACATGTGAAATGAACAGAAGTGTCCACCGTCACTTTCCTTCTGTGTTCTCCAGCACTGCCAGTGCACACAGGCTGCTCTGCCTTAGAGTATACAACCCAGATCTCACAAGACATCCTGCAGTGAACTCTGCAGAGCACTGTTTAGTAGTTAGTTTTCCAGAAACATAGCTATTATTATCACTCTTGTTCCACAAAACTCTTGAAAATAAAATAGAAAAGAAGGAAAAATGTCATGAATAGGAAGAAAGTCAGTTCCCAGCGCCCACCTTTCTGTGTGAATGTTAGAGATCCAAATTCAGGTTCTTATGTCGTAAAGCAAGCCTTCGTACATACTGGGCCATCTCCCGTCCCTCTTGAGTGTGGCTGTAGTTGAGTGTGCTGTATCTTCTGCACCAGACACTGCTTTCTTTATTCTTTCTTTTGCTTTCTTGGTACAATTTTGCTCCCAAACCTCCATTCCCACAGCATGAAGCCCAGCACCATGATCCTTGCTTCCTATGGTTTAGTCTTGGTGAAGAAATATTGCATAAGTTTCAGTAAAGATATTTCTCCGGTATTTACTTCATAGTGTGTCTGTTTACTCAGCAGTTTATCTGACTCAAACCGACCCCACTGCACCCTCCCCTGGAAAACCTGCATGATTTCTCCAAATTTACTTTAGAGAATTTAATTTAGTTTCTTAATGTAGTTAGAATTTTTCAAGTTATCCTTCTAAGGAAGTTGTAGCGGACACTGGAGCATACAGTAACCCATCTTGATGGGCCATGCCATTGTGTGCTTGTGAATGCTGTAGTGTATCACAGAATCTCTGTGTTCTCTGTGGGCTCCCTCTGGACAGTAACAGTAAGCAAGGACACACTGTACCAAAGAAAGCTGGCCAAGGCTATTGGTGCTCAGAAGGTTTGAGTTCTACTATCCTTCAGCATACACTCAATGCTTATGGAGATATCCCAAGATACCAAGAATTCTTAGGCTTAATTGAAGGGTGGTTCTGGGGAAAAAAACAAAAACAAAAACTTCTGGTATTTGCTTCTTATATTTTCTGAAGATTATTATTAAAGGAATCCATTATTATAGACCTGTAACTTTCCCCATTTTTTAGTGTAGGCCAGACCCTCCAGTGCTTAAGACAAAAGTACTTCACTTTATATGAGAGTAAATCCATTTCTGATTTATTTTTTTTCTGGTTGAACAGCTCACTGTTAGAACTTTAATTCAGTAGAAGGGAGTCTCTTTTTACTAGGTTCCACAATATAGTACAAGATAAGTGTTTGGTGTTCTCAAGGAACAGTAGCCACATTGAAAGGTGATTTATTAGTCTATCTTACAAGATGGAGTCCCGGTAGGTCAGCAATGGTTGTCTCACAGTGAAAAGGCCAAGAATCTGGTAGTTGCTCAGTCCGTTAGGCTGAATGTCTCTGCAGTCCCAATCTGGTGTTGAAGGGCTGGAGGATTCTTGGAGAGCTGCTGGTCTTCAGCCTGTGTTGAAATCTCGAAGACGTTAGATATAATACAACCTAAGCCAGGGTAGATAAACATGCTAGCAAGAGTGAGGGCAAGCAGGCACAAAGCAAAGCTTCCTTCTTCCAGGCCTATTTTGTGGACTGCCACCAGAAGGTGTACCCCAATGTAGGGGTGGTCTTTCTACCTCAAGTAATCAGATTAAGAAAATCTCTTAGAAGTGTCCCCAGCATCTTGGGTTTTAGTTGATTCCAGATGTAGTCAGGTTGATTCCAGATATTATCAAGTAGCCATGATGTCATTGCCACCCAATTTGGGAGAATATCTATCAGATGTATATAGTGTAGCCACCTTGGCCAGTAGGCAACCTTAATTTCTAGTCCATTTTTGACAAGTTGTTTATTCTCTCTAGCTGCAAATTGTTTTGCAAGTGTCTGCTTGCAGAGCAGTCCTTCAGCTTGAGCTGTGTTTAAAGAGGTGTTTTTTACCCTGTCTTACTTAGGGTTTTATTGCTATGAAGACATAATATGACCATGGCTGCTATTATAAGGAAAACATGTAATTGGGGCTGGCTTACAATTCAGAGGTTCAGTCCATTATCATCATGGTGGAAAGCATGGCAGTGTGCAGTCAGAGATGGTGCTGGAGGAGCTGAGAGTTCTACATCTTGATCTGCAGACAGCAGAAGGAGACTATGTGCCACAACGGGCGTAGCTTGAACATAGGGGACCTCAAAGCAGCAGGTTTAAGTGTTCTAAACACTTCACATTTACAGATGCGTGTATCTTTGGCCTCTCATCAAAGCAGTTTTTTGTAGCAAATGCAAACGACTGTAGAAATTCAAAGGGAGTCAAAATACAAGAAATAAGTGATTGTGGAATGCCCACCCCAAATGGTACATCTAGAATATAGTCCCTATGCCTAAGGCTCAAGGAAAACTTATTCTTGGTTATACCTTTGACTTCATTTGTTGAGACAGAATCTCATATTAACAAAGCTGGTCCCAAACTCCTGGGTATATGAGATCATCCTGCCTGTGTGTCCCAAGTAATCGTAGTAATAGTATATACTACCATTCATGAGTCTCGTTGGCCTACTTTGAAATGATAACCTCAAGCTATCAGTCCTTTAGACTGAAGAGCTTAATAGTTAATGATGGGTCCTTATGTAGGGTTAGGGCCTATTTAGCCCACAAGTGACCTGCAATTATGAGGGGTTAGAACTCTGAAGTGTAGATGGCTTCTCATCGGAGGAAAAGAGATGTCCGTGAGACCATGGCCTCTGACAAGGGAGCAGAAGGTTTCTAGTTCCTGCTCTTTAATGAGCCCTTGGCAGATGCAGCAGGGGGAGCTGCAGTGGACAAGTAGGCTTCCTGGAGATGGCCCACCATTTTGCATGGCTGTGACAGGTGTACCTTGGAAAGGCATGGCCTCAGGGCTTCATCTCCAGATTGCTTCTTGCTTCTGATGTACATTCTCATGTTTGTCATTGCTGTATTCCTCATTTTCCTGACATGGTGTGATTGGGCAACAACAGACTCTTCTGCCTCTATGTTATAATTGATTTCTATTTCACAAATTTTCTGCAGATCAACATGAAGATAGACTTTCATGAAATAATGTTGTTTGAATAAATTGTTGATTTTATAATTCCTGGTAATGATTTTACAGAATTCCTGATTTAATTCAAATAATTTTAAGAAGCTAAGATAGTTGATAGAAAGTTTAAGGTTAGAATAAAAAATAGAATATGCCTGCTCCTATAAACTGTAAAGGCTGCACATATCAGAAAAGGAGTTCGATGTGCGTTCATGTGTTACAAGCATGTAAACTGCACTAGAAAGAACAATAGGCTTGCAACAAACTAGTGATCACAAAAGACATTCATTCTAGGTTAGGTCCAGGGATGAGGCCACAGATCTTGGTATGCACCATGATAATTAAGGTCATGAACAAGGAGTGGGTAATTTTATTATGTGTATAGAACAGAGAATGGATTAGCTAGTTTAACTACTCAAGACTTCAAAAATAAGTCATAAGATAGACGGCCTGTACTTGGCAAAAATCTTGTTAACCTCTGATATAAAAAACTATTGCTTTGAACTTATAGTGAACATATGGAATGAAAGATGGAACTATTGCGGAACTCATGAAATAAAAATAGATAAACTCCACAGTAGTTCTGGTCTCAACATATTAGATAAGGGGTATTAGACCTGTAGTGGTTTTGGGTTAGTTTATACATATTACATACACAAAGGTTACTTTTACATAGCTACCTACTTTCTTTTGAGAGAATGAGGCATCATATGAATGCAGTGTAATTAAAATGTCAAATGTTTATCTTATAGAAAACCTTCGTTCAATTGAGCATTTTTCCTTTGTTTGTTTTAGAATTGGAATGACTACAGTCACCAGGCTTTTGTCTGTGATCATCTGTCAGAACTCCTGGAGCTGCTTCTAGACCCAGAACACCTCACTGCATCCTTTCACTCAACCCACAGTAGTTTGCTCTCACGAGAAGCTGTCATGGCGCTCAGCTTCCTCATTGAAGGCACAGTGAGCAGAGCCAAGAAGGTCTATCCCCTTCATGAACTTGCCCTGTGGCAACCACTGCATGCAGCAAGTGGCTTCTCAAAGACCTCTAAGACTTTCTTTCTCTACAAGCTGGAAGCATGGTTGAGAACCTGTTTGACTACAAATCCTTTTGGTCCATCTGCTTGCCTCAAGTCTGGAAAGAAATTGGCTTGGGCTCACCAAGGTATTTAAAGAAAAATGCTTTACCTAATGTTAAATTGAACAACAGGGAAACCTACTGTTTGCTGGTGTATGAATGGTCAGATGTCTTCTAGGCTGGTGCAGTGGCACATGCCTGTCATCTAGCACTTGGAAGACAGAAGAATCACAGGTACAAGGCCAAATTGGGCTACATGGTGAGATTTTGTCTCTGCAGTGCACGAATGTGGTACACAACATACATGCAGGCAAAACACACATGACTGTATGATAAAAATAAAGGGGAAAAAGCAAGTAAATGTCTTTCTTAGAGTTTTATTGCTATGAAGAGACACCATGGCCATGGCAATGCTTATAAAGGAAGACATGTCACTGGGGCTGGCTTATAGTTTCAGAGGTTTAGACCATCATTATCATGGTGGGAAGCATGGCACAGTGCAGGCAGACATGGTGCTGGAGAAGTAGCTGAGAGTTCTACGTCTTGATCCACAAGCACCAGGAAAAAAACTGGCTTGAGTTTCTGAGACCTCAAAGCCCATCCCCTAGTAACACACTTCCTCCAATAAGGCCACACCTCCTAATAGTGCCACTCACTCCCTATGGGCCAGACATTCAAACACACGAGTCTGTGAGGGCCATTCGTTGTCCAACCACCACAGAAAGTAAGCAAACACTACCTCCAATATAAAAGAGAATCCGTCTTCTGTATGTGCCTTGCACAGTGGGGCATTGCCCTCAGGTGACCTGGGTCTTTCATTATAGTCACAAAAACTATAATCTGTCTTCTCCATTCTCTCTTCCTTTTGCTGTCAGCTACTTGCTTGAGGCTTTTTCATTTGTATTTAGTAGCAGAATTTGGCAAACCAATAGACGACACCTCAGAGTTGGTGTAAAGGTGAGTGACTTTTAGCTGTAGAGACACAAGCACAGAGTATATTTCCTTCTGTTCTAAACTAGAAATTGTATGGACAGTAACAAGAGACCAGTGTTGGCTCTGTCCATGTCTGTCCCTGGCAGTCCAGCTGTGTCTCACTGATAGGTTCCACTGTTGTAGACTCATGGGCTCATGTATAAGTTTCAAGAAAAGAACCAGGAAAACATTTAAGATATCTGTGCTACTAAGCTAGGTGCCAGGCCAAATTATTAAGACAAAATATAGTAGGCTTTATTTCCACAATCTCAGAGTTGCAAAAATAGTCCCACAGAAAGTTTCCATATATATATTTTTAAAAATGCATTGGTTCAGCTGGGCATGGTGTTGCATGCCTTTATTCCTAGCACTTAGGATGCAGAGCCTGGTAGATATCTGAGTTTGAGGACAGCCTGGTCTCTTGAGAGTGAATTCTAGGACAGCCTGGTCTACATATTGAGACCCTGTCTGAACTTCCTTTCCCCCAGAAAGTTGAATCTTTTTCAGGTTTTTTAAGACACGTTAGGGGATTGAACCTGGGGCCTCATGCATCCTAAGCATGCATTCTGCCATTGAGCAGCACCTCCAAAAAGAATTATATTTTTTCATATTTTTATGACACTGTATAAGAATGATTACACATTATCTACAAAGTCCGAAGTCTTTTTTTATATACCATTCTGCCATTCTGCCTTGCATCAGAGTCTCCTTGAGATTCAGGGATCCTATAGACATGTAAGTGGAACTATGTAATTCTTCATAAAAAACACTTAAGCGTAAGGGAGCCTTTTAACCTTGATAGGGTAGGCACTGTTAGCAAAATTAACACTGTTTAATCTCATAAGATTATATTAAAATTCTAATAATTTGATAACAAACTAATACTTAAACTTTTTACTGTTATTTTTCTACATAACCATGTATTATGTATATGATTATGTGCAATTAAAAACTAAGTCTTTTAAAAAAAGAAGTTTACCATATTTGTATATCCTTTCCACATGGAACCAGTATAGAGTGTCCATGTGGCTAGTGGGAAGTGCAGGCAAAGCAACAAGACATGCTGAAATGGCTGTGTCGGTGGGCACCCTGTGAGGGGAAGATGCATTGCCAGTAGGAATGGTCTTGGGAGAGAAGGCAGGAACTCAAGTAGGATCCTGGGATGGTGCCGTTAGGAAGTTGAGAGGGATGGAGAGTCTGTAGTAGGACAGTGTGAGGAGGCCATGACGGTTGGGATGACAGTGAGCATCCTGAGGAGGAGGTGTTTGGATCTGTCACTAGTGTAGGACCTTAGGCATGTCACTTACCTTAGAAGGGAAATGAGAAAACACACCCTAGCTTTGCCGGAAATCTTGAGGCTATTGCAGGATTACATTTGTTAAAGATGATTTGAAAGATTACAGATATATAGAAAAAGAACAGTAAGCAATGCTTTATCATTAACTCTTACATTTATTTCTTCACATGTAATGGACTGTAGGCAGGGGCACATGCAGACGTGTATAAGCTCATGGTCACATGTTTTCTTTGATTTGAAACTTTCTTATTATTTGTGTGTTTTCTTAAATAGTTGAAGGTTCGACCAAAAGAGCTAAGATTGCTTGCAATGCTCACACGGCCCCTCAGTTGCATCGCATCGTGGTGATGAGCCAGGTTTACAAGCAGACCCTGGCCAAGAGCTCAGAAACTCTAGTAGGAGCACATGTCAGGGCTCATCGCTGCAATGAGTCTTTTATATATTTGCTCTCCCCCTTACGGTAAGCATAGGTCCCTAATATTCTGATATTTTCTTTGGACTGGGGTTTTTATTTTGAGAAAGAATTTTATTCTAGGTGATTCATTCAAAAGAATTTAACTCATTTAAAAATTTTTCAGATCCATGACAATTGAAAAATGCAGGAATAGTACCTTTGTGCTGGGTCCCGTGGAGACGGCTCTTCACCTCCATGACTGTGAGAATCTAAAAGTCATTGCTGTTTGCCACCGATTGTCCATCTCTTCTACAACAGGCTGCACCTTTCACATTATGACCCCCTCACGCCCACTTATTCTCTCTGGAAACCAGACAGTAACTTTTGCCCCCTTTCATACCCATTACCCAATGCTGGAGGACCACATGGCCCGGACTGGCCTTGCTACAGTACCTAACTATTGGGATAACCCAATGGTGGTGTGCAGAGAAGGCACTGACACAAGAGTCTTCCGGCTCTTGCCACCCTCTGAATTCTACATATTTATTATTCCCTTTGAGATGGAAGGGGACACAGCAGAAATACCTGGGGGTCTCCCCTCTGCCTACCAGAAAGCACTGGCTCAAAGAGAACAGAAGATACATATCTGGCAGAAAACTGTGAAGGAAGCTCGTTTGACAAAGTAAGTGTTTTCTAGAGTCAGTGTTTTGCTGATTGTGCAAAACTTGTTAGGAAGACAAATTAATTTGGATACTTTATAGTATCCAGCCACACAAATTATAATGACCTGAGTATCCTTCCAGATTAGTATTCTAGATGCTGTGTGGCATTCTAGAAGATGGTAATGAGCAGGTAGGTAGTCACAGGTATTAGGCTCCCTTCCTTGAAGAAGTTGACACTGTCCTGTGACACAAGCCTGTGATCCCAGCACCTAAAGGCTTGAGACAGGAGAACCACAAATTCCAGGTTAGTGGGAGGGGCATGGTAAGAATCACAATGAAAATCAGCTTATACTTAGTTGATAGAGGTAAGACTTGCATGAATTAAAGCAGTCTTGTCTAGAAAATGGTACGTGGTTCAGCCTTATAGCTGCATAAGAGATCAGGGCTTTGGAATCCTCCAAAACCTTGTGTAAAATACAGATTTTCACGCTTCCCACTACACCACAGACTTATTAAGTCACATTCTTGAAAGTGGTTTTCCCAGGGCTGACCTGTAGATTCTTGCTAGTTCTTGTCACTTACTCCCTTAATCCGTGCTAAAAATGGGAGAAATAATGGAAGTGTGGTTTTCAACGCTAGATTTGTGGTATAAAATACTGTCCTCCATTCTACTTAGGGGACACCAAAGTGGATTTTTAAAAATTACATGCATGGGATAACACATATAGTTGTGGCTATTCATGTTATGACCAGATTTTTATTGGCCTTTGAACTCCAGAAGCCAGACTCATGGCATACAGTTTGCAAAGAGTCCAAAGACACCAGTGTGAACAGTTAAGGAAGATGTGTTAAGAACGTAGAATTTGTAATGGGTCCTGAAGAATAAGAACTTTGCATAGCAAGTGAGGCCTAGTTTGAATATCAGAGAGTAGTGGAGGAGCAGATGTCTGAGAAGCAGACTCTAAGGCGGGATTCAGGGTGCAGCACAGTGGTCCCTAAGTTTGATACCTGACCTGAATTATGTCCTGTTCTGATGATCAGGCCTTGAACATTCCATTAGAATTCTGCAGTAGAAGCCTGTCAGGATTTGCTTTAAGCTGTGGAATAAAGTCCAGGAAGGAGTTTATTTATTCAGGAGTATCTATAAGCCCCACAGCACACAGACTGCTCACAAGAGCCCATGGCAGATTTAAATAAACAGAACTCTGGGCTTGTACGTAGGCAATCAGAGAGCGAATTGAAAGAGGAGTGTTCAGTGTCTGAGCGAGAGCAGAAAGGAGGATGGGGAGGACAGAAGTACTTGGACAGCAGCCTGGGCTCTGTGTATAAGTTTGTGAAGAACGAGAAAGTCAAAAATGATTCTCAAAATTGAGTCTCAGCTTAGTAAGTTTTTGTTAACCAATTTTTTTCTCAGCAGACCACTGTGAATAACTTAAAATTACCCATGCTTGGAATTTACAAATATGTTGGTAGACAAATTTCATTTGTTAGAGACTGTAAGAGTGGGAAAAGGAAATACTACAGTACTAGAACATGGTGGAGGTAACTTTGTTCTCTCTCCATTTGAGCACAGGGCCAAGTTCTTTTTGTAAATCTCTGTCTACGCTCCCTCAATGTGTGTGTGTGTGTGTGTGTGTGTGTGTGTGTGTGTGTGTGTGTGTGTGTGT